ATACTGGTGACTACATCTCAAAGTGGTAATGTGTCATAGCTGATCATCTGGAAATGTGTTATTAAGAGAAAGGGCTTTAAAAAGTGTAATATGACTTCTCTAGAACACAGAATTTGGGGAAAATTCTGTCTCCGTCTCAGTCTTTGTACTGACTGAGGTCTTTGTGCCGGAGAAAACATCAATTAACCTGTTAATATGAATGATTTTAAAGTTTGAACATGCAATACAGATACAGATTTAACTACTGTGAATTAAAAATTAAAACCACTTTTCCTAGAGTAGAACAGTCTTCTTTTCAATTAATGAAATATGCATTCTTTTTAAATACTTGCATACATCATTCTTTATTTTTTCAAGCAGCAGATATTTATTTGTATGAATTAAATATAATGAATCCTTATAAAAGCTATTACAGTTTTTTTCAATTGCTTACACACTAAAATTAAAACTTTCCCACTATTAGCAAAACCTTACACTCAAGGAGCAAAACACCAGCCTAGATTTGCACAATTGTAAGCACGTTGTCAGCTTCACATTTTTTGCAAAACATTACACACAGTAATTTGTAAAACTCTACACACATTTTCACACCTTAGACACAGTTAAGGATTGTGAGGTTACTTCCTTGTCATTACAAAGCCCCGGTTTGCCATTGACCACACTAATGAATGAATTGGATATGCACATCCACAAGGTGTGGAAGCACACATGTGCTAATTTGAAAACGCAGCACTCAGGTGTGCTATAAAAGGCAGCAGGTTTCAGTTCACATGTCTTCAACAAAAATGGAAGGAGCTAGAAGAAGAAGAAGAAAAAGAGTGAGAATAAGAGGGGGAGCTCAAAGAGGAGATGAAGGAGGTAGAGGAAGAGGAGAAGGAGGTAGAGGAAGAGGAGAAGGAGGTAGAGGAAGAGGAGAAGGAGGTAGAGGAAGAGGTGAAGGAGGTAGAGGAGGAGGAGAAGGAGGTAGAGGAGGAGGCCCAGGTAGAGGAAGAGGAGAAGGAGATAGAGGAAGAGGCCTAGGTAGAGGAGAAGAGGTAGAGAAGGACTTGAAGAGTTGATAGAACCTGAACAAAGAAGACGAGGACCAAATTTGACTCAAGAAATCCGTGCAACACTTATTGACCATGTTATCAACCATGGACTGACACTGATGGAAGCTGGACAAAGAGATCAACCAAATCTCTGGTTGATACTGTAACTGAATAGTTACAGTATTCTTGTTGCTTTTACAGTATTTTTTCTTCAGAGTCAAACTGTATGTACTTCATGCAGTAATTTTTATTTGTCTACAGATTTTATTTTTTTCATTGATTTCTTTGTTGGTTGATTACTGTAACTGATTATGGTAAGAAATACTGTAAATAAATACTTGAAATATGAGTCTGTAGAAATCAGTGTTGTGCAGTGCTTGGCAAGTTTATAGTAGGCCTATTTGTGTACATTCTCCCTATATCTCAAACTAATCATGAAGAATGTTGTGGGTTTGTCACTATTTTTTTTTTCATCTAAATTATCCCTTACATAACAATGTCTGGCCAAAAATCTAGCACATGCTATTTCCTAAAAATTGTTTTTTTACAAATGTGTTTTTTATTTATCACAGCCGTGTGAAACTGGCTGCAATAGTGTCTGGTCATTGAGGACTGTGTTGGTTAAATGAAAACTAATAGCATTTTCACAAATATGTGTATATCTTTTGACTGAAGTGTGTATGTTTTGACAGAAGTGTGTCAATTTGCAAACAATCTAGGAATTATGCAAATTGAGTGTGGTGTTTGGATAATTGTGATTATATTTTGAAAAAAAGAACCCGGTTTTCAAAATTGCGTGTAAACAATTGAAAAAAACTGTAACGAGCAGTGAATGCTTTTCTCTTTTTCTTTTGTTGCTTGAATATTGAGGAGGATACAGACCGCATTAGATGTATTACCCACTGTCACTTTAAGACGTCGGATCATGTCCAATGACATCCGATACAAATGCACTGATGCACATCCGATACACTCAACTGTTTTAGACATAACCGACATAGTTTACATGAATACTCTCCAAAAAGGACATTTAGACATAATATTGTGTGTACTTGTCCATTCAGACACGAAAGAGAGCTCAATCAGTACTCGCGCGCTGTATAGGTGTCTATGCACGCTTCAGTCGCGCAGAGAAAACCGCTGCCGCACCGAATAGAGCATTATTTTATTTTTTTGCGTCGTCACTCTTATTCAGATCTAACATTTTTGTCTAGTTTTTATTCGTTGAATATCCGTTGTTTAACCAGCGCAACATATTTGCGATGTCATTAAGCCATTTGATACTGCGGAACAAGTCTCCGGTCATTGAAAGTAACTATAGTAACAGCATGTGAAGACGCGCTCCGTTGTAGTCAGCGCTTGGTCGGTTAATTTTGGCATTTTCTAAGTAAGTTAGCCTAATAGGCTAGTAATAAATGAACACACATACAAAAATGTCTTTCGTCCTGTAGGCGTCCTGGAGAATATTTCTGTTCGTCCTAAACACATTTTTTATCGTCCCCAGGACGATAGGACGCCGTTAGTCTCGAGCCCTGGCCTACTATGTTAAAAAAAGGACGAAAACATGTTACTTGTTCAATTAATAAACAGTTTGTTTGATGACAAATCGCTAAAGATGAAATTGGCCTCCCTTTCTGTCATTGCGGTTTTTTTTGTTGTTGTTTTTTTTCTTTCGATATTCGACTTTTGCTCCTCGATTGTCGAATGGCATTTTTGGCAGAAATGCACATCCCTACGCGAGGCAAACTATTCTCAAAGACTTACTTTTAGTCATTATTTGGGTAGCACACATATTCTGAATGCCTTCGGGAGAATTCAAATGAGCCATTTTAATCTAGATTAATCTAGATTAATTTCAATATTAATCTAGATTAAAAAAATTAATCTATGCCCACCTCATATATATATATCTATCATCATCATCATACAGATCCTGTAGTGAATTAAGCCCATTGACAGTCCAGATTTTAAAGGCCCCATCGGTTTGTGAGGGCGCAAAGTGAACATGTTGTTGTTATTATTCAAGTGAAAACGCTCGACGAAATTGTGAAAATTTTAAGAGATTGCTTCACCACTAATATATTTGTTGAGTACTTGCTTGGACACCAGTTCATGAAAAAGTTATCTTGGATTAGAGGACATCTCAATTTGCAACCATTAATGTCCATTTGAAGAATTAATCAATTGAAGTATATCCTAGCTAATATAGTTGAGGCCCAGTAGTTCTTTAATGTGATTTTAAGTGGTATTTGGAGCCAATAAATGTATAGTGACTCAAAGGGATTTTAGGCGCGGTACACACTGTGCTATCAGTGTGACTCTTCAGTAGTGTCAGGAAGAGTTATGATGGCCCAGGGCTGTTTTGGCCATGACCCTCAGTTGTCCCCCGTAGCTATGTAACAAGATTTCATTCAATATGTGACCTGACCACGTTCATGTTTGCGTTCTGTCAGAGCTCATCTTCTTCTCTCCCCCCAGAAAGTGTAACCGAACTCCAGCCAGACCCGCAGAGCAGGGTTTTACTCGAAGGAATAACTGCTGCCAGAACGGACAGTCGAACACTAGAATTGATCTCATATCACACTAGCAATGATAATTAGCCCACATCTAGACGATTTGGTGCCAAATAATTCTGCATTATCTGTCTGTCTCTTTGTGAATGAGCGGCTCAGTTTTGTCATGGTTGTTTTCAGGGTTTGCCATCTCACTTTATGAGGACCGTACGCATGAACTTCATCATCTCCAGAGCTGCTCTGAGAATTTCACCTTTTCGTTTGAGAAAAGCTATTGTCAAATTGACATTAAACTGAAAGGTCTTCAGGACAAACTGCCTAAATAAGTTCAATTTATCTTGAAGATAATGTCATATATATCACTGTTTTATTGTAAAATGTACTTATCATACATTAGTTATTATAATAATAATAATAATAATAATAGAAATAGAAAATAATAGTAATAGAAAAAATACAGAATTTGGGGAAGAAAAAAAAAAGTGTTATAAACTTTTGCCCATGTTGTGCAGCCTTAGTCTAGACCCAATGTAATTTCACTGCTTAGTTAATAAAAAATCTACCATTTCCACAGAGCTGTTATTGTGTCAAAATGCACTTGCGAAACCTTGAACTTCCACAATGTGACGTATTTCTGTGTGGAATTGTGAAATTGATATTAATTGGTTCGTAGTTTTCCCCACCACCAGAAAACAAGTAGTTTCAAACTGGAGAATGTAACTAATATTAGTGAACGATTATTATTCAGTCTCTCTCTCTCTCTCTCTCTCTCTCTCTGTCTCTCTGTCTGTGAGTCGCAGAACAGGAGGGGAGTAGGCAGCCAGGATTTCCATAATCCCACAGTCAGACACAAAGCAGGGCAAAGGCAGAGGAACAAGGCCTCGACTGGCCTTCACAGTCAGACTTTTAAGAGCATGAAGACATGAGTCAGCAGATCTCAACACTGATTAAACAAGGGCATCAGGAGATTTCCACAAGGTGTCTTAATTGTGTAAAATAGACTCCATATGCTAAATACGGATGATTGAGCCATAGATCTCAAGTTATGCCTGTGATTATCTATGGGTATGGTGTCCAGTTGCTGTTTTTATCATCTGGATGTATTTTAAGCATCTTGGGGCGTGAAAGTGGGAGATTGAGGTCGACAGACGTCTGTCTAGTCTGTATACTAAAGGAGGCCAAGTGTGGAATGTCTATTGCTGTCCCTCGATACCCACAGGACCCGTGGCAGAAGCAGTGTTTGTTTGCTAATATTCCTTTACTCGTTTTTTTGTTGTTGTTTTGTTTGGAAACTATTTGAGGAATATTTCAAGCACTTGTGAATTTTAGTTTATTTTAAAGGGGTTCCTTTGAGATTACCAAACTTTAAACACAAAAACTGCACTGAATAGGTATGTTTTTTGTTCTTTTTATCTTCCTTTTGTATGTAATTTTTTGTAAAATATTCTTCTGGCAGGTGATGGTGAACTCTGAGAAAGACCGTGCTTCTCTCTTGTGTATGAAGGCTCTGGCCAACAGGGGGCGTCTGGACACGGTGTCTCAGCAGATGGCCTCTCACCCACAATACCTGGAGAGTTTTCTGCGCACACAGCACTACATCCTCTATATGGATGGCCCATTGCCCCTGCCCTACCGCCACTACATTGCCATCATGGTAAGAACAGAATGATCAGGCATTATGGCCAAAGTCTTATTTCACATTACGAGAAATTTCATTTCAAATTTCAAACAATGGGACAAATACAATAGAACTTGTACAGTATGTTTATTTAACATAGTAAGAAATGCTACAGAAATGAAATCAAATGTAAAAATAAAGTTTATTATTGTTGTTTGATTAATATTAATGACACAGATGGCAGCAGGAATATTGCGCTGCTGTTACTTTAAGACCTACTGTACAGATATAATATATTGACACACATCCGGTTTTCACCCAACTGTTTATGTTCACTTAAGACACAACTTCTAATTCACTTACATGAATAGTCTGAATTCTCCACACGATGGGCATTCTTACATAATGTGTGTTTGACCATTTAAGCGCAATAAGCTGCAAAAGAGAACCGAACTCGAGATCGCATGCTGTCTGAGAGAGGCGTCTTTTTATGCGTGTGCTTCGGATGTGTGTCAGTCAGCACGATCACCGCATTGAGCTCTTTCTTTCACGCCTTATTGCACTCAATAACTTTTTAACATCTTGCATGTGCTATTCTTATTCTCATTCATACATGTTTCTTTATCACTCTAAAGTGTCAAGAACTTTAAGTAGCACTGTGCTACGTGGACATATTTGCATACCGCAATATTAACGATATAGCGAAATTTCTAACGATAGATTTTATATTGTTGCCACGATAAACATCATACTGGCCAGCCCTACTTGCACATGCTCTACAGTTGATCACAGGCTCAAGTAATATCTCGATTTTATTGCTTTTATTTGATGACACATATTTGTGTTTCAGGCTGCAGCACGGCATCACTGTCGGTACCTGGTGTCTCTGCACTCAGCTCAGTTTCTGCGTGTGGGTGGAGACCCGTTATGGCTTCAGGGGCTGGAGGCTGCACCCCCACGTCTACAGCACCTTGACCACATCAACAAGGTCCTGGCCCATCAGCCTTGGCTCACGGCACGCTCGCACATACAGGCTCTGCTCAAGACGGGAGAGCAGTGCTGGTCTCTGGCTGAGCTTGTTCAGGCGGTGGTTCTGCTGGCCCACTGTCACTCCCTCTGCAGTTTTGTCTTTGGTTCTGGTTCTGACTCTGATGGCACTCTCACTCCCAGAGTGCATCACGGCACACCCCCCGGTTACTGTCTCTGTGACGCTGCCAACGGCAACACGGCCTTATCACCGCCCCCTGTTGGACCCACAGAGAAGGCATCACGGCGAAGGGTATAAATGATCATTCACAACAGTTTCAGTTGATAAAAGATCTTTCAATTCTGAATAAGATTTGTTCGGGTTTGTATGAAGCAGCTGGTAAATAACAAAAATCAGATAAAATATACATCTTAGAGTCGTCGCAATATCAAAATTGCAGTAATCATTATTCGGATTTCAAGTTCTTCCACCATTAATACACCACTGAGCACTTTTAATTTGTTAATATTAATTATTATTCAATCAAAGCAATACATCACTGATGCAAATGAAGTAAACAGTGGAACATTTTTGTAAGTATTTAACTGCAGTGTCAGTATTCAAGTAAACATTCAGAAATGTAATTTTTTTTTTTTTAATATACACTACTGTGTTTTTTTTAAGTTGATAGTTTTATCTAAAGTGCCAGCAAACATATTAATATTCCAAAAGATTTCTATTCCAAATGAAAGCTGTTCTTTTGAACATTTCTTGAAAATCACGGTGTTCACAAAAATATTAAGCAGCACAACTGTTTTCAACATTGATAATAAGAAGAAATGTTACTTGAGCAGCAAATCAGCATATATGTTTTTTTATTATTGTAATATTTTACGATATTACTGTCTTTACTGTATTTTTGATCAAATAAATTGGTGAGCACAAGAGACTACTTCAGTTATTTTACAAAAACTGAATTCTACAAACATTCATACAGCACAAGTACGATCTTTCTTCTCATTTTCTGATTTTGATGGTGGCTGGCTTGATCATGGACAAATCATTTGGATACTTTGAATTGGCACTATCAACACTTTAGAAAGACTGCTATCATTACTTATTTTTTAACTATCAGCATGTTTCTTAAGTAACAATATTTTTGACAACCCTAGTACAGCAGTATGCAAGCATTGTGAAGTCAGTTGTAATTTAGGCAAAACCAGCATGTCTTATTTTTAACAGTGGTCTATTTTTTTGTAGTCTCTAGACTCCAGCTGCGAAGTTGCTTGCCTTCTAGAACAAATTCAAAAATCACAGGAGGAGATCAAGGAAAGAAAAGGAGACCGACTCCATTCACAGACACTCCTACATTCTGGTAAGATGTTGTTCACCAGTTTAAAGACAGTGTGTCGTGTAACCATGTTTCCCAACGCTGCTGTAAACAGGAAGCGTAATTTTGGATTGGGACGAATGTTTAGAGTTATTTTTACACAAGCACATTTTCTTGTGTGTGTATATATCTCTCTCTCGTGGACCCTCTTTCGTAACCTGCCTTTCTCTTTCTCAAATGCAACTCCATGTTAGATGTGGAGGAGGAGGAGGAGGCTATGTTCTCTGCAGACCCCTCCCGCTTCGTCACAGATCCAGAATTCGGCTACCAGGAATTTGCCAGACGGGAGGAGGACCATTTCCAAGTATTCCGGGTGCAGGTGGGGACAGAGAGTGTGGATTGGGTGTCACCTACCAAAAGTAGTAGCATAAAAAAGGGTACTAAGGGTCAGAAATACAGCTCATGCCCGCCCTTCTTAAGACTGTCAGAACTTAACGTTACTCTCAAAACCTTAAAAGGAAGCTTTGTGCCACTGACAAGTCCTCTCAAATGCCTGTTAGGCTTCCTACATTTGATTTGAATGGGAATTGGATGCAACTCCTGTAGTTAAATGTTTTGATGTTAATATAGTTTGTTTTATTCTAACTTACTACTTACTTTTATCCTAACATTATTATTCAAAAGAAATAATAAGAAATAGAGTAAGAAATAAATAAATACTTTTAATCAGGAGGGATGCATTAAATTGATCAAAAGTGACGGAACAGACTTTTACATTGTTACAAAAGATTCTTTTTGACCTTTTAATTTAAAAAAAAGTAAACAACATAGTTGACGGTTGTATGACGTATGACGGTTTCCACAAAAATATTCAGCAGCACAACGGTTTTCAACATGGATTATAAGGAATGTTTCTTGAGCACCAAATCAGCATTTATTTTAAGGAAGTCAATACTTTAATACTTATTCAGCAAGGATGCATGAAATTGACCAAAAGTAATAATATTACCAAAGAGTTCTTTTTTATTCTATTCATCAAAGAATCCTGAAAAAAGTATCAGTTTCCACAAAAATATTAAGCAGCACAACTGCTTTCAGCATTGATAATAAGAAAATCATCATATAAGAATGATTTCTGAAGGATCATGTGACACTGAATACTGGAGTAATGATGCTGAAAATTCAGCTTTGCATCACAGGAATAAAAAAATATTTTAAAATATATTGCAATAGTTATTTTAAATTATAATAATATTTATATATAATGTTATATACAGAAATGACCTTTTAATAATCTTTAAAATTCTGTGGTAAAGGTGATGTTATGAACTCTATTTATTTATTTGTCTTTCTGTGCAGGACTATTCATGGGAGGATCATGGTTTTTCGTTGGTAAACAGGCTCTACTCTGATATAGGGCACTTGTTAGACGAGCGATTCCGCAATGTGGCCTCCCTCCCTTTCCCTCACAGTCCCGATCTCAAACGAGCCATCTGGAACTACATTCATTGTATCTATGGAATCAGGTACAGTTCCCTGAATTTTTTTTTTTTTTTTTTTATAACACTTTTGGTTTTGGTTTGCTCTTTTTATGCTAAAGAATCATGAAATGAAATAAGAGTTAATTTTTTTTAGCCTAGCTTTAAACTCCACCATCCTACATTTACATTTTCTTGTGACTCATCAACGATTTGAACATGCTAAAAAAATGCAAAAAAAACAAAGCACTTACATTGACATGCCTGCCTTCAGATATGATGATTACGATTATGGGGAAGTTAACCGGTTACTGGAGCGTGGACTGAAACTTTACATTAAAGCTGTGGCCTGCTACCCCGACTCCAGCAAGACCCCTCTATGCCCGCTGTCCTGGGGCCCTGTCAAAGCTTCAGAGAAGGTGATTTCCTATCAAAATTTGTGCTGCGTACACTTCAGTACCATCTGCTTAACCCTGTTAAGCCTACTGTATCATATTTAATATGGAAATCTCTAAGGCCTCTAAATGATCAACATGATCTTTGCTTTGAAACTATTATTTATTTATTTTTAAATCATGTAAAAGATAGGGAAGGTGATAGGGGTGTGCCAAAAAATCGATTCACAGAAGAATCTAGATTCTCATTTGCAACGCTTCAGAATCGATCTGAAATGTCCAAGAATCGATTTAATAAATAAATAAAATCAGCTGGCTGTTCGCCTCCATTTTTGTAACTATAGCCTATACGGGACGTCCGGACGTCATGCTTGCAGCCGGTTTTTGAACGTGAGCGGCAAATCAAAGGAAGCAAATATATGGATGCTTCTATGAAGCTTCTGATGCTTCTAAATATGATGCTTCTACATTCTTTCTGCCGTGGCCGGCCGCCACACCTAAAATAATCCCGCCACGGCTGCAGCTTCTCAGTGAGGTCCGATATTAATGTGTATACCATTGTGTTATTGTTAAGCTAAAGGCATAAAAAACATTGTAAAGCACCATAAAGTGTTCGCACTATATTCCAAGACTTCTAAAGTCATTCAATAGCATAATGTGAGGTAAAAATGAATATTTAAGTCGTTAGTTAAAGTTAATAGAAACTCATCTCTCCTCAGTCATTCTCCATTCAGCATTCACACAGCGCGTCGCGTTATAGCGTTTTCTAAATCATAATCCTTTCTCCCGGGTGTCTGTTAGATTACAGCACTGGAGAGCGCTATGAATTGTTCTTCATGCGCACTGTAACTGAAATTTAAAACTGTTAAAAGAAAAGGCTCAATAAACTGTTGCATAGATATAATACATTAAGCATAGATAGATATAATCTCTTCGCTTTGTGCTTTGAACTTTTCAATCCGGAGCGCTGCGCGCTGTGACTTCACGTTGCTTCAAGTGCATCATTCTGCGCACGGGATGCGCATAATCGCTTTGCCGCTCTTATTCGAGCCTTTCATGTTATAATGTTATAATGCTTAGGGGAGGTTTAAACACCTGGGGTAAGGGGGCGTGGCCAATGGGAATATCACTCATGGGCCACGCCCCCTCCCCCTGGCGAAATGGGCCTGCCACCACAGCTGGAAAAAATCCTAGAGGAAACACTGGTCTCCGTTTGTCTGTATAGCAAAGCAGATGAGAGTAGATCATGATCAGAAACCCGATTAGAAATCATTATGGATAAAATCGAATCGTTTTAAATCGAAAATCTTTTTGAATCGAAAATCGATTTTGAATCGAATCGTGGCCTCAAGAATCGGAATCGAATTGAATCGTGAGATGGTAAAAGATTCCCACCCCTAGAAGGTGATTTGTTTCAGAAACATTTATTGTTATGCTGGTTGAAAGTCTCTTCACATCCTGATTGCAATCACTAAGTTAAGTCTAAATGTATATATATGTATATTAGGGCTGTAACGATACACCAAACCCACGATTCGGTTCGTATCACGATTTTTGACCCACGATTCGGTTCATATCACGATTCTATCACGGTGGCGGGGCTTGGGGGGCAGGGCTTGGGGGTGAAAAAAAGAGCGATTTTGAGGGGAAAAAATATATCTTTATTAAATAACATTTGAAAAAACTGCATAAACTGAACACAAAAGAACAATATTAACAATGCAAATTATTAAACTAAACTAGGCAGTGTAGGCTGCTGCTTTTAGGTTGTTTTCTGTGCTCCAACAAAATTGATTTCGGGATGGTGCTGTAAGATATGCATCTGCATGTTGGATGTGTTGCCGGTCATTTGAGGAAGCTTCTTAAAACACTTATGGCAAATTGTGTGGGTCTTGTCGACTACACGATTTAATTAGAGAATATCAAATAGGTTGTGTGATTATTGACTAAAAAAAATCTCTAAGTTTTTGGTGCATGACGAGTAACATGTAAGGGTGGCGCTGCCAATAAGGACCTAAAAGCTGTCACAAAGAACCGGCAAAAGTAATGACTATGAATATGTCAAATATAGCAAGGAGAGATTTTAATTGTTTATTAATAAACAAGTGTTTTCTGTCAGTGTCGGCTCACTCGGCTGGAAAGATGAAGTTGACGATACTGACTCGCGATTGTCGCAGTAGTGAACGCGCCAGAGAGAAATGCACTTTTCATACGGATTACATCAGAGCAGCCTGTTTTCTTTCGTTTTGAATTGTTCTGTTTAAAAGTAGACACTTCAATATAGATATATTTCTCAAGTATGTGAGGCAAGTAGGCTACCTTATACGCTGAGTTTCGGTTCATTTATGAGACGAGCTCCAGTTCACGCGCCGGCACCTCCGTGTCATGATTATCTATTGTCTGCTATATTTACTTCTTATTTATTAAATCCAGATAATTGGTTGATGAAACATTGATTAAAATTAATATACAATTAATTAATTAAACGAAATTCACTTTAAAGAAAAGCTTTGTGCTTTCTGTTTGAGGTCTCTGTGAAAGTTTTAGTGCCGCTTCCAGAGAACTGTCACGTCCGTAACATTGTTTTTTCCTCATAAATGCGAACACGAAAAAATAAAATAATATTTTATGTTCTGGGGAGAACCAACCCTTTTTTATCCGGTGGGTAGGATAGTATTACTTTTGGTTTGTGCAGTGTAATTCACTGAATTACTAAAACCATATTTTTCACATATTTGTGTCACGTCCGTAACGCATGTGTATTTCCCTCATATTAAATATAAAATGCATGTGTAGACTTATATTTTTCTAATGTCTGGACTCCTTTATTAAGGGAGTATGGATATATAAACAGAAGTTGCAATATAGTGGTATTAAATGCATTTATATTTCAAGTTTTGACCGCAAATGTCATGTCCATAACGCTGAAATTGCCCAATTTTAAATAATTTATCCTCAACTAGTTTTGTGATGTAGGTCTATGTATTTTAAAATGTTAACTTCAAATAATACTAATAGTAATTCAAAGATGTGGTAGCATTGGATCTGGACGGGAAGGATAACTCTGGGAGTTGGAAGGGGTGTGATCGCGATTCTGCCTTCTCACACCGCGATACAGGATCGTGGATCTGAGTATCGCGATTTTGGTTTTATATTGCGTATGGTTACAGCCCTAATGTATATATATTGTCTGTGGAAGGTGTAGGACCATAAAATGTTCGTCCAATCATTGCCCTCGTTCTGATGTCTAGGGCTGGGTAAAAAATATTGATTTCTCGATATTAATCGATTCTCATTTTATCGATTCTTAAATCTCAAGAATCGATTAGTCATCCTGTTTTCATTTGACGAATGAATGGAACATTGTAGCGCTCATCCCATCCAATAAATCGCAATAATCTTTGTGCTTTGTTACTATTGATATGAAACAAAGTTTCAGATTTCTAAGTACGTCCATTTTCTTACGAAATTCAAAAACATAAATACCGTTTTGGCGCTGTGGCGTGAGATCGCTCTGGCTCAACTCAGCTCAGAAGCAGCAGCGCGGAGCGCACATGATCTCCTCTTCTGCCTTAATAATACCAGTTACAGCGCGAAATAAACATGAATGAGCATCTAAGTACGAGATATGGCCAGCAGCCATATCACCCTGTAGCCCAAGACTGGTTGCCCACTGAAGCTAAGCAGGGCTGACCCTGGTTAGTACCTGGATGGGAGACCTTCTGAGAAAACCAGGTTGCTGCTGGAAGAGGTGTTAGTGAGGCCAGCAGGGGGCGCTCACCCTGTGGTCTGTGTGGGTCCTAACGCCCCAGTATAGTGACGGGGACACTATACTGTCAAAGAGCACCGTCCCATGGATGAGACGTTAAACCGAGGTCTTGACTCTCTGTGGTCACAAAAAAAATCCCAGGATGTCTTTCGAAAGAGTAGGGGTGTAACCCCGGCATCCTGGCCAAATTTGCCCAGTGGCCTCTGTCCATCATGGCCTCCTAATCATCCCCATAGATATATACCAATTGGCTTCATCACTATGTCTCCTCTCCACCAGTAAGCTGGTGTGTGGTGGGCGTTCTGGCGCAATATGGCTGCCGTCGCATCATCCAGGTGGATGCTGCACATTGGTGGTGGTTGAGGAGATCCCCCCTTCTATGTAAAGCGCTTTGAGTGCCAAGAAAAGCGCTATATAAATGTATTGAATTATTATTATTATTATTATTATTATTATCTGACAGTGTGTTAAAAGATAGAGTACAACTTATCGAAATCCGTATCATGTCACATGGAATCGCTCAATCAGTGTTTCAACCGTGGAAAGACGTCCGTAAAACAACTTGTAAACAATGTAACGTCACATTTACCTCAGAAAAAACATATGGAACCATAAACTCGTTAGTCAGCTAGAAAAATTAACTCTAAAGAGGAACATTTTGCTAAATATATGCACCATATTACATATTCATTATAATTTTTAATGTTCTTCGATATATTGCATGTTTGAATAAATCTGGCAAGTTTTTATGACAGCCACCATTTAAATGTTTATATTTCATATAACTTTATTATTATAAAAATAAATAAGTGTAATTTGAGTGTTTGTATAGCTACAAATCAGTTCATTTTTACCTTCAATATTATAGTAGGCTAATGAAGCCTAGTAGGCTACAACTGACTCCCATAGTTTACAGCATTAGTTAAGAGATTTGTTTTCCTTGAGAAAATTTGCCATGTATTGTACCTGATATCCAAAATCAATATTGAATCGAATCGGAATCGAATCGAATTGCAAGCTTGTGAATCGAAATCGAATCGAATTGTGAAATTTGTGTCAATACCTAGCCCTTCTGATGTCGATGTCCTACCTGCCTGACAACATATGTATTTCCAAACCTCTGCGCACCTGCTCGTGCAGGCATCACACGTCATCAGCGTGTTTCATGCTATGCAGAGTTAGACAGACGTCAGTCACAGAGCACCGCAACCGAAACAGCAGCAGCCACCTTTTACAGTTCCTCCTGAACCAAAACAACGAGCTTACTTATGAGTTCACGCCATAACTACTGTAATTTGGAAGAGATGTAAACCCGTGAATTTATGCGTTTCAATGTAGGGGTGTAACGATACACTCGTGTCATGATACGATACTATCGTGATATTTTAAGCCAAAATAAACTAAAACTTAAAAGATCCAAAAAATTTCATAAAGGCATCGAAAAAAATCTTTAAGTATTTAAATTGACTGTAAATGGAGGGACAGAAATCTCTCAGGTTTCATAAAAAATCTCTTCAAAAATCTTATAGGTTTGAAACGACATGATGGTGAGTACATGATGACAGAATTGACATTTTTGGGTGAATTATACCTTATAAATACAGTAAGCTTAGCCTTGGATAAAACTAACTCTATATCATGAATCATATCCTTTACATTGCATTTTCATATCGCGGTATCTTAATATAATGATGTATCGTTCCACGCCTACTTTTTGACCATATAAATATCAGCAACTGCACCAAATTGCATATTATGTTCAGTTTGGGCCTCCGAATCAGTATCACCTGAATATATTTTAGTTATTTACTTTGTTCTCGCCATGAAGATGCTGCTGACATGGCATTATATATATATATATATATATATATATATATATATATATACACTCACCTAAAGGATTATTAGGAACACCATACTAATACTGTGTTTGACCTCCTTTCGCCTTCAGAACTGCCTTAATTCTACGTGGCATTGATTTCAATAGGGCACGAAGCTCCCGTTCCACCACATCCCAAAGATGCTCTATTGGGTTGAGATCTGGTGAATGTGGGGGCCATTTTAGTACAGTGAACTCATTGACATATTTAAGAAACCAATTTGAAATGATTCAAGCTTTGTGACATGGTGCATTATCCTGCTGGAAGTAGCCATCAGAGGATGCGTACATGGTGGCCATAAAGGGATGGACATGGTCAGAAACAATGCTCAGGTAGGCCGTGGCATTTAAACGATGCCCAATTGGCACAAAGGGGCCTAAAGTGTGCCAAGAAAACATCCCCCACACCATTACACCACCACCACCAGCCTGCACAGTGGTAACAAGGCATGATAGATCCATGTTCTCATTCTGTTTACGCCAAATTCTGACTCTAGCATCTGAATGTCTCAACAGAAATCGAGACTCATCAGACCAGGCAACATTTTTCCAGTCTTCAACTGTCCAATTTTGGTGAGCTCTTGCAAATTGTAGCCTCTTTTTCCTATTTGTAGTGGAGATGAGTGGTACCCGGTGGGGTCTTCTGCTGTTGTAGCCCATCCGCCTCAAGGTTGTGCGTGTTGTGGCTTCACAAATGCTTTGCTGCATACCTCGGTTGTAACGAGTGGTTATTTCAGTCAAAATTGGTCTTCTATCAGCTTGAATCAGTCGGCCCATTCTCCTCTGACCTCTAGCATCAACAAGGCATTTTCGCCGACAGGACTGCCGCATACTGGATGTTTTTCCCTTTTCACACCATTCTTTGTAAACCCTAGAAATGGTTGTGCGTGAAAATCCCAATAACTGAGCAGATTGTGAAATACTCAGACCGGCCCGTCTGGCACCAACAAGCATGCCACGCTCAGAATTGCTTAAATCACCTTTCTTTCCCATTCTGACATTCAGTTTGGAGTTCAGGAGATTGTCTTGACCAGGACCACACCCCTAAATGCATTGAAGCAACTGCCATGTGATTGGTTGATTAGATAATTGCATTAATGAGAAATTGAACAGGTGTACCTAATAATCCTTTAGGTGAGTGTATATACATATATATATATAATGCCATCTACTTTAAATGGCTGTATGATATTTTATAATAGTGTTTTGATGCAAATCTTTCTGTGGTTTTGTGTTTTAGGTTCATGTAAATTTGTTAGTGATGGAGGCCCGTCTGCAGGCGGAGCTGCTGTATGCGCTCAGAGCCATCACTCAATACATGATCGCATAGGACAGCGCCACAGAGGGACGTGGTACAACGGAAATCAAGGCAAAGAAATACAAGCAGAGATCTGTCTCTCCGTCTCTGTATTTGTTGTCTCTGAGTTGACCATTGTGACGTAAGGTACTGCTGTGAAAAGTTTCTTTGCCAAAGGTGAAACTTCAGAAAGAAAGAAAAAAGTGCAAAGCAATCGCTCACCCCTACTGTCATTTTGCATGTGCTTCTCCTATGTGAATTTGTTAGTTGTTCTTTTGTGTGCGTACAATTCCTTTTTGTATTTTTTTTTTTATCTTTATCCCAGATGGTTAATGTGCAATTATTTTTATTCACTTGTTGTTGTTATTAATATTTTCCCGTTTGTTTTTTTCTGTTGCTATTCAATTGAGAGAAGTGTCCAACTGTCCGTTTCCAAGGTATCAAATTCTGGAAAGGTCACTGTTTACAGGAAATGAGTGACTGGACAAAGGTGCTTGCTTAACATGGCTTTTAGATATTTCATTTGAATGTGGAATAGTGAGACCAGAGCAAAATTTAACAAAGGGCAGGAGAAGGTACAACTTTCTTTTTTAATGAGCACTTTTAAGACAGTATCTATCTAAATAATATCTCAATAAGCTTTCGGCCGTGGCTTCGTTCAGCACACAGCAGGTCGTCTGAGTACTGATTTCACTTATTCAGGGGTGCGTTTCACAAAAGCATCGTTAACCAACTATGGTCGCAAGTTCCATCGTTATCAGCATCAACGAGTCTGTGTTTCCCGAAAACATAGTTCATCGCAAAGTTGTGCGGTTGGAACTACAGTTCTCGACCTGTGGCTAGAAGCAAAGTTTCTTGTTTGCATGACATGTGGACTCAATATATCCTTATCTTGATTTCCTTATAAGCAAGCTAACATTCAGTACAGTCTATATCTTTTTTTTAAATTAGAATACAAAAAAATGTAATTTACGTCTTTCAGTTTGTCAAGGGATTTAAGCTTTGTTATTGAAGAGTGGGCATGTGCGTACGAGCTCTAGTACGTAAGAACGAGCCTATGATTGAATCTGGAAATAAAGCAAAATAACTGAGAAAAATGAGAAATAGTCCTCAGATGCCATGTCCGTAATTTATGTCAAAACATCTAGCATTAATTCGATCTCAAACAGATTCATTAAAAGAAGTTATTACTCCAACACCTGCGTGACGTGGTTGAACGTCCAATTTGCGGCAGTACGTTTTCGGGAAACAGTCATGACTAGCTAGTAGTTAAGCAGCGAGTTACATCGTTGTACGGGAAACGCACCCCAGATCAATTAGCATTGATGTTTTTTCTGAAATCTTCCACATCCTTTCCTCTCTGCATGGGTGCTTTAAAGGTTGATTATGGATACTTTTATAGGATCCATAATAGTTAATCCCATTCATCTCAGTAGCCATCTAAACAGCTTTACAGTGTGCATTTGAAACGAATTGCATTTTCTAAACTACTTTAAATTGTATGTTTGCTTTGTGGTAGTGTTCTCAGACTTTCTAAGTTTCTTATGGCAGAAAGTCGGTTTCACCTGCTCTATACGGACTGGCCAAATTAACACAGTATGTATTTGAAATCCATTATGTTGTATGCTTTTTTTTAAAACTGTTTAAAAAGCATTTAAAAGTCTTCAATTTTAATAGAACCTAAGTAATTCACCCACTAAATGGATTCTGAAAGAAGCAGCGATCAGTGAGAAGCACTGGTTAATGTAAAACTGGCTTGTCCAGTGTAGACGTTTATTCACGAGAAATTAATATCCAATAATAAGGACTTGTTTTCAAATATTTTACCATGTAAAAATTAAGTCACCTTGTGATGTATGTGAGAAGGGGCTCAAAATAAGCTTAAAATGTGTGATTTTAGCATCGACACATTGGTATAGATCAAATGAAGGCTTCTGACAGGACTATAAGATGCAGAAAGGTTTGCAGTCAGCCTGTCACTGACTGTCTTTCCCACAACTGACCTGCACAAAATGATGATGATTATTATTATTATTATTATTTTGCACTGAACCTTTTGCACAAAACCCTTCAAGTGTGGTTTCAGCTGTCATTGTTACAAACTGCTTGGAGAGGCGTTGAGCCCTCTGATGCCATGAACATTATATATTCAATGTCCAGTTTTGTTGACAAGGCCAAATACCTGTACTGTGTTAAACTCTCATCGCTCTGGTTAACTAATTACAGTTGGCAGAATGACTTGGGCAACACCTATGGTTGGTTTTGTGTGTGTTTAATATTTATCATTTGCATTACTTTTGTCCTTGTTTTTGAGGGAGGGTGATGTTGTTGCATCAGTTTTGCTCTTTTCTGAACTGTTTTGATTTAATACTAAGATATGTAAATCAGCAGAAATGTGTAAAGAAGTACAGGAGCTGCAGTCTGTGTTGGACGCTCTGTGCCTTTTGACTTTTGGCTCATCAGTATGGCATTAAACTGCATTAAATCTAGCTGAGAATGGAAGACAAGACAAGAGTGTTCATCATCCGGGCTGACCGACAGAAACAGACAACTGGAGACATTTGTCAGGAGGAGCAGAATACAACTGCAGCACGGCCATTCTACCTTAAGAAGGACTGTCTGAAATGCTTGTTCTTGAATGGCAGTCTGCCAAATCCCTGAAACGTGGAGACTTCCAGACTGTCTCCACCACCTCCTCAGCTGGAAGATGTTAAGGATGGTGCCTTAGCGGTGCAGACTGAACGAGCCTGGCTATTGCCAAAATGTTTATTTACCACGTAAATGTAGGAACTATAAAAATTTAAACTGACCAAAAAAAGAAAAAGAAAAAAAAAGAAAATCAACCTGGAAAACCGAGCAAAAAAAGTTTTGAAATGTGAAAGATTATTTTTTCTATAAAGATATGCAATATCATTGATGTGTCTTGTTTTTACTTATTTTTTAAGTTTGAATGTGTATAAGTTTTATCAGTCTAGATTCAGTAAACGAGTGTTATGGTTACCAAAAATTCAATCAAAGGAGATGTCTTCAGAGTGACTGCTGAATTATTTTTGAATAATGGCGTCTGATACTGCTAACTGCAATCCTGCCATCTAGTGGTAGATCTCCCTTCACAATCCCTTTGAGAAAATAACACGAGCAATTCAAAAAAAAGCATTACCCCTCATTTACACTGCACACGTCTGCGGCGCATTACGGCTGCGACACGGCTACCGGAGCTGATCGCGGCCATTCTAGTCAATGCGTGTGTTTACACCGGCCGCGAAGCGGCGGGTTTCAGAAGCTTCCCCAGAAGCTGCTCTCCGCGCCGCTTCGCTAAATATAGGCGCCTAGTCTGTTTTTGACGGACGCCGCGTCCAAGCCGCACCGTAAATACAAAATAAAAGTAAAAAAAACACTGTCAATTTCATAATAAACACCCTGTGCAGAATCCCAATTGTATTGCACACCAATATATCCTTGGTAAAATCCATAGACTGTAGGTAGACACACAAAAATCAAGAAAAACCACGCCGGACAGGCAAATCACGTGGTCTCGCGCATCCAGTCGCTTCGCTTCTGAAATGCTCCTGGTGTGAGTTGGCACTGTGTGAAGGACGGAATAAAACCGTGTCGCAGCCGTAATGCGCCGCAGACGTGTGCAGTGTAAATGAGGGGTTAAGGTGATGATACACAGGGCAACATTTTGAGCAATGTTGCCGTCAACGGGCAACCAGATGAGACACAGGGACCACGACCGATCTAAATTATCCAGATAGAAATGTATTGCCCATTTTCAATGGGAAAGTGCCCAAGCAACAATCGCTCGGCAAGATTGCCCAGCAACATTGCTCAAAAAGTTGCCCTGTGTATCATCACCTTTACAATATTCCAGGATTAATGATGGAGCGTCTAAAGGTAGACGTTTGAAGCGTTTAAAAGAAGAAATGTGAAACTTGTAATGTTATAAAATCACTAATATTAACTCTTCCTTTAAAATGCGTTGTATTGTTTATCTGTAAAGCTGTCCAAACTTAGATTTTATTGCGGGTTCTATTAAATATCCCCTGGAGGTCCACTGTCCCGCAGAGTTTAGCTCCAACCCTGAATGTGAATTATGTTTACTACTACTGCTTATTAGTCTGGATTTAATGAATGCCCTGCATCTCTGTGCTAATGTCAAATGAATGGACCAATGACAGAATGAACACAAAACGGTCTCCGTTAAACAGATTAGGTTTATTTCTATTGCTTTCAATGGCCTCTGACTAACAAAATATGGGGGGACAAAAAAAGCAATCAAGTACATATACAGTATATTGGCTATGCACAACTCGTCAGTCTTACATCCCGCCATAACCCAAAACAGAAACAGAGGAAAAACCCAACCCAGACCATAAACTAATGTCCTGTGTTATCAACTGGGATACTTAGCAAACTCTTGGAAAAATTAAAGGAACTAAAAGAATGAATACTAAAGGGAAAAAGGATAATATCAAACAAGGAAAGAGAGATTGTGATTTGGAAAGAGGGAAGGTGTGGAATTCCTGCATTTCATGCAGCAGCCCTGTGACGTCTGTCTGATGGGGCAAATACAATATTTGTACTTTGAGAAATGAAACTAAGCAAGGGTGTTTATCATAAAAATTCAACGTATATCAACACATTTAAATGACAAAAGAAAATGCCAAAGGTGACTGTCAGCATAAAGCTTTCTGGAAGATGTACCATGCAGGTATAACAACCACATAAAGGAGCTGCATTACAAGTACAAACATAAAAACATGAGAAAAGATGCCCCAAAAGACAAGAACATCAATGTAAACGGTTGATTGGAAATCATCAGTTGCTGTATCAAACGTTACACCACGCTGACACCATTCACAATATGTGGTGAGATGGCAAAGTCCCTCCCTCCCCATTCACAGCTTCTTTTATAATGAATAGAAAAACTGAGAGTTTGGGAATTAAAACAAAGGTACATTTATCATACTATGTTCTACATTAAGAAATTGTATTCAATATGTTTTGCATAAAATTATTAAAAGGCCCTGATATCTACATATGCACCGATCAAATATGGCCCTCTTTTAATTGTCATATTTAATATCTAGCACCAATGAATAGGATAAAAATGATTCCTTTATAAGGAGAGAGCATTTTAAGTTAATCTACTCAGACCATTACATTGATGTCATAAGAGTAACTAATGTCAAGCTCTCAAACTGAAGCCAATTTATACACCCCTAAAATGAATAAACCTTCAGACTGCTGCTTTTAAACTAATAGAGTAAAAACCATCTGAGAAAATTATAAAATAAAAGTTGACCCTTCTATTACAGAAAAGGTAAGTTGAAAGTTGAAAGAAAACGGCATTAAAACTGTATGGTTTGCTCTGGAGCGACATGCTATAGTGTTCATTGGCAGTTTACAAGTTTTTGTAGAAAAAAAGCATACATTAAATCTCTCATTATAAACGGCGACATTAGATTTCTCCAATGGTAAAATATCTGTGACGTTGGCTTGCATAAATGACTCATAATTTAGACAAAGCCGTGAGCATTGAAGTCATAACATGATTATCTCATTACTTCCTTACAGAAGTTGTTTTAATTATTATTTTTCATAACCCTGAGTGAAACATTGGATTAATCCTTTTCGGTTGGACCAGTCTTGCATTTTGAGATGATATCATTGCCTAGAAAGTTCAAGATGCTTCTTTCTTTCT